TTAAATATTAATAGTTCGAGTTTAGAGCAACAAATATTAAGTCATGATTATGGTTATTCTTAAAAGTATAAATTATTAAATATTTTTATAATATTTATTTTCTTTTATAAAGCTCAAATAACCTTAATTACTTTTTTTTTTTTAGAAAAAAAGACTTCCCATTATTTACATTTATCTGTGTTTTTTTTAAGATAAAGATAGAGAAATTCGGTTCATAAATGGAAATTGTAAGCATTTTTAGGTAAATATTGAATTTTAGTATTCTATTTTCTAAATTAAACTTTTTTTTTTTTTTTTTGGTCCTTTAGATTAAAATTTTATTTTTTGAAATTATTTCAAGTGATTAAATGTACTTTTTAATTTTTTTTTTTTTTGTTTGAATTTTTTTTAACCTTTTTAAAGTCATATGTCAATAAAAAGAAAATAAAGTTTTAGTTTTTTTTTTTAAATATTTCTTATAACTTTTAAATTGACCCCAAAAAAAATAATACATAATAATATTTTTTATTTTCGTGTTCAATGTTCATTTATATATATATATTTATATTAAATCTTTTTAAATAAATGAATACATTGATTATTTTATAAGTTATTTTGACAAACCTAAATTGTAATACACTGAATTTGTAAAAAAAATAATAATAATAAATAAATATAATAAAATATTTTTGTATAAATAAAGGAATAAGTCAATAATAATAAAAGAAAATAAATAAATACAGTGACAGCAGAGCTGCTGCCGCCATGGGGGAGATAAGGGAATGGACATGTGGTTGAGCATGAATAAAAGAAGGAAAAAAAAATTGTAGAGAATTCGAGATGAAATTCAACCACCACATGTCCGATAGATTCATAAGAGTTAGATTATTAAGTTGTAGAAGAAATCGGGATGAAACTAGAACGGTAGGATGAGAATGATTGGCACGTGAAGAACACGTGTGCGTGACTGCGAGTGAAGATGCAACTGGGCGAGAACTAGGCACGTGAGATAGGTTATCTTGGTGCGTGTGAGCTTCGTTTGACCTTCCATTCATCCCGTTTGACTTCTTTTGACCTATATGAATGTTATTTTATAATCGTGAGCATGTTGATTATGTGATTATGAGTCTAATATAATAAATATATGTGTATTACATAGTTAATTTGTGATATCTATGGATGCATGCATAAGACATGAGCATGTTATGAATACAAAATGGAAATGTTATGAGTTGATCGTGTCATGGGCTATATATGAATATTTTTAGTCTACTAATCTCTGCTGAATTCACGACCGATGTGTTGTGGTCTAAGTTAGGAATAATGAGAATTCCTGACCGTCGGATTATATTATGTAACAGGTCATCAGAGAGTTTACTAGACAGGTCATATGTGATCGAGAATGAGTCTTACATACAGTGTCCGAAAACTAAGAAAAGCATATAAAGAGTTGGCCGTCTAAGCTTGAAGTAGCTGGAACACTTTTTAACGAACAAAAGATCTTAGTAAAAGAAATTAGGAGTCATTGATGAATAAAACTTAAGAATTACTGGAAAGATGATTATTTAAAACTTGTAAAACACACAAGTTTAGCTACTTATCGAGTAAATTAATTACTCATCGAAATTTTTTTAATTTTTTTTTCTAAATAAGCGTGATGTTGAGTGACCGAGACAATGAAGAACCCGATACTGGTCGGGCTTGCTCCCTTGTGAAAAGGAACCCCCTCATTCGGAGGCAACGGGGAAATCGACCCTCTTTGCATGTGATGCATTAGCCTTTGCAATTTCATCCATCTTTCTTTTACTTGGAGTTCCTCTATTATGAGCGGGATCTGCAATAATCCATTATATAATATAAAATTAAATATAAAAAAATTCAATATCAATATAAAAAGAAAAAATAAAAATTATAATATTGTAATATTGTTCCGCTATTTTAGAGGTATGCAGAAAGCATGTATTTCTTCGTTATTCGCCTGCTTTCACTCATTGTCTTCTCCATCTTTTCAGCCTTTATATGCTATTTCATGCACACCGTGCTTCATGTTCACTCCATGCTTATAAGAAATTGTTAAGCCATTTATGTTATGTTTACGAAAAAACGGAGGTATAACTTGCATCATACGTATATCTCATGATTTAAAGTAATGGGGACATCATACATTTTGTATAGCACGTGTATCGGGATACTTCTTTGTTATGATTAATACGAACACGTACACTAGTACACTTTGATATTATTCGTGCTCCTTACCCCTGCGGCTTTTTCGGCATGAATTGGACAGTAGAGACCAAGACTATGACGTTTTACGAAATGATAGGTTCCATCGTGATCACATGTGATTGCATTTCCTGACCCCAATAGTAAGTTACTTACCGATTATTTTTAAATACTCAAGCCATACTCCTTATTTTTCAAGTAAACGTAAGACACCTCTACGGATGATGACCTTGTTGTATATAACGATCACATTTTTAATCAATTATATTTCTATAATTTTGAATAAGTTCGAGAAAATAAAAAATTAAAAAAATAAACATAAACTTAAAAATATTTTATTTTTTAAATGTAATAATATTTCATATAAATTAGTAATTATTATTATTTTATGAATTTAATACTATATTAATTCAAATTCTTAATTTAATTATAGGTGAAAGGATAATAATAAAAATAAAATCCGTGTACATATAATTATTAATTTATTTAGTTGTAGGTGTGAGGCTGTGAGAGGGGGTGGGTGACGGTGGGGTGATTTGAAGATTACTCCACGTCGGGTAATTTGGAATTTCAGGTCGGCCGTTTCTTTCCCAACCAATGGCTGCCATTCCAAACAAATTCTTTAATTAAATTTTTTTATAAAATTATTTATGCCATGTTTGATTTAATTAATCAATTAATTTATTTATTTTAATCTCGTAATCAGTTAGTCGTATTTATCTAATTTCGATCTTATTTAATATTGCATGTTCCAAATTAGGTTCAGTCCCCCCGACTCATTCAATAGCCACACAAATTTGAGTAACTCCAATAAAATTTGTCCATTTTCGAATAAATACTTATTTTCTTTGTTTGTTTCACAAGTTAGGGATAATATTATCCTATTATTTCTTTTTTTTTTAAAAAAACCAACCTGGGTTTTTAAATATCTTCTTCTATATTCAACGACTCTGGACACGGTTGTGCCACTATACATTTTTTCTAAGAGGGACGCGTAACCACACTGTTGATTTAGTAGTTGGCCGGCATGTGGAGTTGCTCCTCCAAGTTCAGTTAGGGGTGTACACTCAACCCGATAACCTGGACCAATCCAACCCGAACTATAACGGTTGGGTTGGATTGGATTAGCAATTTGGGTGGGATTGAGTTCATTTTTCTGAATCCAAATTGATTCGGTTTGGTTTTGGGTTCATGGGACAAAATCTTTGAATTGACCCGAGCCAAAAGAATGTATATAATATATATTAAGAAACTTACTATAATTATTAGTTTTTTATTGTCAGTTTATTATTAAAAATATCGACGTCAAATACATTATTTTTTATATATATATTTTTAATTTAGTTTCTTAATGTCAGTTTATTATTAAAAATATCTTTTTAAATTAATCATTTTTATTATTATTTCTGATTTGATGATCTATTCTTATATTTTCTTACTTTAACCCATTCTCGATAAGAGTCGGTATTTAGTTGTCTTTAGTTTTACAACAATGTTGAACTATATTAATATGTTACATTTTTGCTTGTTGTTCTGGATTGAATTTATTATTATTATTTTTTTTTTTTTAATAATTATAAATTGATTTGTATTTGTTTGTCAACTTGATTGTATTCCAATAATTATAAATTGTGGATAAATAAAAAAAAATTTAAAAATGAATTTTTTTAACCACCGTCAACCCAACCCGAATAGAGGGTTGAGTTGGGTCGAGTTACCAATCCAACCAACCCAAACTTTTGGGTTGGGTAAAAAAAAAATCTCTCAACCCAACCCAACCGGGACCATGTACACCTCTAGTGATATTATGGCCATGTGTTAAAGGGTTGTGAGCTAATGTTACAGAGATGATGTTCAAAAAAGATGATATCATACGATACGTATATAGTTATGATGAGGTTGCGCCTCAACCAAAGATACCAATCATTCATTATCGTGGTTATGTATGGTTAATAAGTATGACAAAAAGTTGGTTCACTCCAAAATGTGATTTGCCATCCAGAAGGTGCTAGCACCTAATGAACGGCTTCCGGACCCTATTAAGGTCTTTGACATATAAGAGAACTACTCGAAATTTTGAGGCTTTTTTTTTTTTTTGCTTAGATAACCAAAATGATAGTCATATTGAATCGGCCATCATTCTCATCCATGCAAATTAAAGGACAGTCCCTCACATGCCAGAGTTTATTACTCACTCAGGATCAAGATTGAGTCGCATATGATCACCGCGTAAAATATTAATCTTTCCAATTAAAAAATTTATAAAAAGATATTAAATATTTTAAGATTCTACAAACTCATTGTATATGATATTTCCAATCACATGTTTTCACATAAACGAATTGGATTAAATCATTTATAAGAATTACGAAATGGGTAATATCAATAGTGTTACCAGGAAAAAGCACCCAACCTTGATTTTTCCATACAATAGATAATATTAAATTACAAATAAAATAATCTAAATTATTATTAAAAACTAAATAAATAATTAATTATTATTAAAAATAGTGGAAAACATAATAATGATAATATTAGAAAAACTTCTTAATTCTATTAAAAAAAACATCATAACCAAAATTATCAAATATAAAATTTATATTCAAGGAAAATATATGTTATTAGAAAGGAAAAAAACCTTAATTTAGGAAATATCATAATAAAATTTTCTTAATATAACAATTATATTAAGAAAAATAATTAAAATGCATGATGTGGATGCTAGTGGCCTTGTGGGTTTAGGTTTCGGATCTGCCTATATATTTCGGGTATGGGCCGGATCCAAATTCGGATTCAGGTCCGATTTGAATCTTCTTCTCCAACTCACAAAAATGGCCCAATAGGCCCATGGGCCTAATATTACTTCAGCCCAATTCTATATTCAGAATAATTAATATTTATTACTCAATAAACTTAAAAAACCTAAAATTAAAACATATTATTTATAATATAAATATAAATATTAAATTTTAATTATTTTAAAATTCTAACTTGATAAAAGGTATTATTGGAGCTAAAAAAAAAAAAAAAAAAAAATCAAGGGTGGGCGGAGATCACAGTGCTGTTGTTGCTGGCTTTGGCCGTTGAGCTACTACCCACTCACTCTCCTTTGCTCTTCTCTGTCATCACTCCGTCTCGCCGGAAAATTCTTCCGCCTTCCGTCCATAAACAGCCACCGAAATGCTATTTGCTCGATCGTTTCTCCGCTCCCACCTCAAACCCTCCGACATTCCTCGCCATTCTCCGCCTTTTTCTTCCCTCTTTTCGTCTCTTTCAGCTTCTTCCGCTGCGTCTATTGAAGCCGATAGGCTTCTCAGAGATGGCCCCAGGAATAATTGGACTCGACAGGAGATTCGCGACATTTACGACTCTCCCGTTCTCGATCTGCTTTTCCATGGCGTCAGTACTCTCTCTCTCTCTCTCTCTATATATATGTGTGTGTGTGTGTGTAATGCAAACTTTTTGTTAGTACTGGTGGGAGAAATTGAAGCTATTTGTTTGAGATTTTTCGTTATTTTCTTATGACTTGTTGGAGACATTGAGTTGGCCTGTAGTCTCAGTGTCTAAGAGCTTTGCACGTACGATTTGTGGTTGATAGGTCTTTTAATGGTTGAAGTTTTTCAATCTGTTCTCAAATCTATTATCACTATCGCTAGAATTAAAAAGTGAAACCCTTACCACGATTTCTTACCTCAAATTTATCGTGTCTGTTAAAGAGGAAATCATCCACAACCTTTTTGCTTATAGATGTTGATTCTAATGGGGTTCTCCTTTGAGGCTTCAGTAGTATTGCCCAACATATAGAATTAGGCCCGTGATGCGAATGTAAATTCATTTAAATGTTCGTAAAAAGTAACTTCCCTTTCTTCTCTTGAACTATCATAGTTGCATAAAAAATAACCACTCCTAGTTACTATATCTCTTGAGAGAAATAAAACTTTTGGAGCATAACTCTGAAGCCACCGCACCAATGTTCTAGGCTGGTGCCTCTCTGAAAGTAACTTGTGTTCATTTCATAAATTGGTCTAATGGTCCAAGGGCGTTATACTATACGAAATGGTGGTTGTTGCATTGGTCTTGTTCGTTTTTGTGGCTAAATGCCTATTCATCCCTCTAAAGGCACAATGGATCTTCTAATATATCATGAAAATAAATAATGATCTATATATCTAACCTAATTCCAATTGTATACCTTGTTTTAGTAACCAATTATTTGCGTATGGAAACTTTTTACTAACAAATAATTTGGTGGAAACTGACTTATTACACAAGTAGTGTTACAATTTTTTTGATTTCCATATTGCAACTTGACCTCTTTCTAAATCATCTAGTTCTTAAATGGGTTTTACTTGAAGCACTATTTCCATACTTTTTCCCCTTTTTATTTTGTTTGCTTATTACATATATATACCTATTTATTGTTCTTCAGGCGCAAGTTCATAGGCACACACACAATTTTCGGGAGGTGCAGCAGTGTACCCTCCTTTCAATCAAAACAGGTGGGTGTAGTGAGGATTGTTCCTACTGTCCTCAATCATCGAGATATGACACTGGAGTGAAATCCCAAAAACTTATGACCAAGGATGTCGTGCTTGAGGCAGCCAAAAAGGTATCCCTTTTTAATTGTTGCAAATTGTTCTGTACATTGAAGCTGAGTTTCATTGCCGCGACTAACCAATAATAACCTTATGTATGTCTTAGATAAGTTGGAATTGGTACCCTTTGGCAGTCTTGTTATGCCATCTTCCTGATCCTTGGGTTTTTGTTGCCCCCTTACTGATCAAGAGACTTGTGAGGTGTCAGTCTCCTTTCTGTTGTTTTTACCTGGTCGTTTGCCATGGAAGAAAGGATTCTAGCTTTTAGCTTTCGAAGCCCTTTGAGGGTTTCTCTAGCAGATATATATATATATATATATTCCGTTGCAGATTCTTTTTGCCCCTTCTCCCCACCAGGAAGCCAATGTATTTTCCTCTGTTTTGGAAGTTAAAATTCCTAAGAAAGTGATGTTCTTTTCTTTGACAAGTTTTACATGGGAGAGTAAATACTCAGAACCGTCTCCAGAGGTTCTCTTCTCTTCCTTGGTGTTGTAGCCTCAATGACGTGTTCTTTGTAGAAGGCAAGAAGAGGATCTTGACCATTTGCTTTGGGATTTTTATTCTGTTAGTTCTTTGTGGAATCCGTTCCTTATGACTTTCAAGATTCTGTTAGCTCATAATAGAGAATATCCATAAATTGTATGTTTGGTATTTATGGTTACTCGGCATTAAATATATTTTATTGAACAAGGCTTTTATTCTAAAAATATTTAGGGCATCTAATGTGCACTGCACATGAACCTTCAATCTTCGTATGCTAAATCATGACATGCTTATTGGTAGACTTTTTGTAACTTAGTACTGGTGTCTTTCATATTTTTCATTCTACCATTGATGTCGTTTTATATATATATAACAGAGCTATACCTTAACTGTTCCTCTTTTGTTTTCATGCCATGCCATCTTCTTTCTTTAAAAAGAAGTTGAAAAATCTTAAAAAGGAATAATTTTTTATTGCATATTATCTGTCCCTTGACCAATATTTAAAGCGTTTATTCACATTGTCTGGCAGGCAAAAGAGGCTGGTAGCACAAGATTTTGTATGGGTGCTGCATGGAGAGATACAATAGGAAGAAAAACTAATTTCAATCAGATCCTTGATTATGTAAAAAAAATAAGGTAACAAATTTCACCTTAAATAAGAAATAGCTACAAAGATTAGAAGACTGAAATAATTAGCTTGCTTACAGAATACAGATTAAAGATAGATCAACAATAAAATGAGAATAAGTTCTTAACTTTTCCTGCCCCTGTCTGCTTAGAATGGTCAGGACAAGAAAGTTTTTCATCATAGAGTGAGTGATGGTCAGAGCAGAGCACTTAGAAAGATTTTGCAATGATTTAAAAAACAAATTCAGCATGATTTGAAAGTCCCTAGTGTTACACATGATTTTTGCCTCTTTTATTTTCTTTAAATACTAGGAAAGAAAATGCTAGGATTCCTTTACTAAATTCAATCTCTTAAGCAAAGCCTTTGTCTTTTCTCCTTTTGCTTAATCTCTCTTTCAAGGCTTGCAGTTCGGTTTTCCGCATCTTTTGATAATTTATGTATATATGTAAAAGATTTCTGCAAGTGTTGAGATTAGCAAGGGTTGACTCTTTAGTATTGTCCAATCAAGCTAGTGAAATGCATGATCGAGAAACTGAAACATTGGCAAGAATCGTCCACAATTATATCTCTTTTAACCTGAGTAATCACTCGTCCTTCGACATTAATTCTCAAATCAAATTCATCTGTGATGTATTAGAGAGATGGGGATGGAGGTCTGCTGCACTCTGGGCATGATAGAGAAGCAACAAGCTATTGACCTCAAGAAGGCCGGCCTCACAGCTTATAACCACAACCTCGACACATCAAGGGAATACTACCCAAATATTATTACCACGAGGAGTTATGATGAGCGTTTAAAAACTCTAGAATTTGTTCGTGATGCTGGAATCAATGTCTGCTCTGGTAATTTTTACATCTTTGATTTTAACTCAGATTTTCCGTGTTGTCCGTCTTCTCTTCAACATTTATACTACTACTTCATGACGTATTGACAAATTTAATGAATATTCCTAGATTTATAACTTATTTATCGGAAAAAGTTTATTAATTTATAACTTCTAGAAGAAATGGCTTATAAAAGAGCGGGAAACCCCCACAAACCATAAGACTACAAAAGGGCTGCCCAGTTGGCATTTGGAAACTATTTAGGATTCATAACACATATAAGGGAAAATATTCAGCTTGGTCAGTAAGCCTAGAAGTCTACTAAAAGTTATAATTGTGACAATTTGAAGAGGATAATATTTATTGAAGGGAGACATAGCTATAGCCTTACGATGGTTTAAGGTTTCATCCATTAGTAGACCAACTATCCCAATGGTTATAAATGGTGGAGGGATCCGAGGACGTTAAGTTTCTGAAGATCTCCACGGCTTCTAGGTTCTTGATTTGGAGTATTCACTTCCCTGATGATGTAGGGAAAGGAATGTTAATGAAGGGAGACGTGTATTCCTTTGTTTGCTTTTGAAACAATTAATTTATATTGATCAGTATTGGCGTTCTATGATTTTTTTTCTAGTTCTCTAATGGGGCCATATAAACATTCCAGAGACTTTTTCCTTTTTCCTTGGCCGCTATATGGTGGTGTACACTTTCTTTTGTATGATAGAAAAATATTCTATTGATGTGATGAAATATACCAAGAAAATTTCCGGGAGCCTGAGAAATTTTGCAACTCCATCCTCTTCCTCCCCTTTTGTACTATATTTTTATGGCATTGGTACTTTCACTGCTTAATAAGAACTTGGTGAAATCCTTAATTTCTGGCAATAGGAGGAATAATTGGGCTTGGAGAGGCAGAAGAGGACCGTGTCGGTTTGCTGCATACCTTGGCGACTCTGCCCACACACCCCGAGAGTGTTCCCATCAATGCGCTGGTTGCAGTGAAAGGAACCCCTCTTCAAGACCAAAAAGTAGCTCATATTTGTTGCACAAACCTTATTTAGACACCACTACTTCACTTCATATGAAAGCTATTGCTTTGGTCTCTATAGTGAATGCTTTTCTTGCCTTTCTTTCTTTTCAGCCTGTTGAAATATGGGAGATGATTCGAATGATCGCCACAGCACGGATCACCATGCCAAAAGCAATGGTAAGGCTGTCTGCAGGTCGAGTGAAGTTTTCCGTGCCGGAGCAGGCGTTATGCTTCCTTGCAGGAGCAAATTCTATCTTCACCGGGGAGAAACTGCTAACGACGCCAAATAACGACTTTGATGCTGATCAACACATGTTCAAGATGCTGGGTTTGATTCCAAAAGCTCCCAGTTTCACTGATGGTGCTGAGAAAGCCCCTGAAGAAGAGTCATTACAAGAAGCTGCTTCCAATTAATTCATAAGCCACTGGCTCTCCAATCAATTCTCTCTCTCTCAATCTTTATTTCTTTGCTTTTTTCTCCATTTTGGGTTTGTTAATCCGTAGATTTGCAGTTGGTATCTCCATTAGATGTGAGCTTAAAAGAGAAAATGAAGAGGTAATGAACACTTCTCCTTGTGTTAGAGTAGTTACACGTACTTGTTCTACAAGTCATCACTTCATGATTAATGTTTAGGAAATCTTTATCATTCCCATTCCTTTTGTTTGTGATAGGACTGGTTATTAATGTATAATGGTTATAGTTTTATAAAATTATTTGACTATTCTCCCTCTTGGCATAAATGTTTGTTGGTATCATCTCTCAAATTTTATGGTTTAAAATGAAGGATTTTGAGGCTTTTTTTTCTCATAACCTTAAAAACAAAATTATGATTTTTTTTCACTATAATAAAATGAGGTTAGTGGAAAGCAGTTGTTCTAATTCTTGGCTCATTTTTATCGTGTTTGATTTTTTTTGGGTGTATATCGGTTGAGTTGAGAAAAATCTTTTTAGTTAAATTTGAAATTTCGAGTTTGTTGGGTTAGTGACCCGAGCACCCCAAATAAATTTTACAATCCTACTTGAGCTGTGTGTGAATTGAGTAAAAATCTTATTTATCTACTGTTTGTATTACATTAATAACCAAAATTTTGTAAAACTCAAATATCAAATATTAACAATACACAACACATCGTTAACATCAATTATAAATATCAAATATTCTTAATTTGCACTATTTTTGGGTCTCAACAACAAAAAATGTCAATTGGCGAACTTGATTTTTTTTTATTTTTAAAAAATTCAACTCAACTCAAACGGAAACAAATCTAACTCAACCCATGTTTAGGATGGATAATTTGGATAGATCTGAGTTCTTGGGTCATTTAACCCATAGTTTCATTAAAAGTAAGATAAAATGTGAATGATTCTCTTACCACTATTATGGAAGTGTTAGCTCAATTGATTAAAAAGTATACTCAGAACTCAATGGTTAGGGGTTTGAAACTTTAAAAGACGAGACATTTACATCATAAAACATGAAATCTTAGATTCTTATTTAGATCAATATTCACGGTCGTGCCACCACTTTCTTGTTTGGAAGTAGGTTTATTTCACTAATTTTTTAGTAAACTTTTCACCCTACTTCGAAATACATTTAAATTTTAAGTCAAATTTTAAATAAACTTAAAAACACATTTCAATTTTAGGTAAGTTTTAAAAATAACTAGTAATTTTCAAAATTTAGCATAGTTTTTAAAAATAATTTTGAAACATGGGTAATATAAACAAGAAAATTTAGGTACAAATAGTGTTTATAACCTTAATCTAAAAAATAAATAAATACAATTTAAATGTTGTACGAATGACTCATACCTTGTGGTCCCAACACTTGTCATATTATGTGATTTGTATGGTGTGTATTACATTATGTGTGCTGATTTATGTTATAATATAAGTTATGTTATGATATAATACTATGACATGATTATGATATATTATGAAATTACGTTAAGATATTAATGTTGTATGATGCGTGAACCTCTATATGTCACACTTCTTATTATGTTAGCATGTTCACCATATGCCTATGAGACATTTATACACCATTTATGTTAACCATAAAAGATATGTTCAATATACATATGCATGTTTCATAGGAACCCTATGACATGAAAAAAATGGAGGTATGACTTGCATCATAAATATATGTTATGATTTAATACTATGGGATCTCATGCATTTTGTATCGTCATGATTAGTATAGAAGCGTACATTATGATATTTATGTATGTCATGATATAATGCGAGCTCCTTTCCCTCCGTAGCTCTAGTAGTGTGAGATTCGCTAATCGAATGTGAGCCCAATTGGTGGGTACATGTGCGCGTGCGTGAGCCATGTGTAGAAAAGTACTACACATCTAATTCCACTCGAACTGAAAAGTAGAGTTCAAAGTCATGATATTTTTATGAAAAAATAGATCTCACCATGATTGCATGTAATTGTATTTCACAACCTCAATAGAGGGACTACTTCCTAAGTATTTCTTTAAATATTCAAGCCAGTGTTTCAACTTTTTTTCAAGTAAATGTAAGGCATCCCTTGTACAAATGATGACATGGGAATGAAATTAGGGTAGTTTTATTTACATTTAATGTGATGTAATAAGAATATGATTCAATTTAAAATCAAATCAAATCAAAATTTCTTCTTCCAAAATTAAATGAAAGTTCTTTTTTGATGTTTATATGTCAAAAGTTTTTTTTTATCTATTTCAATCTTTTATCTTTAAAAGTTTCTTATTTATTTAAATTCTTATGGAAGAATCAAAATTATATTATTATTAAAATAAGTTTTGAAAGATGATGATAATGGGAGGGAGTGTTGGAGGTATGAGTTTTAAAATATCATTTTTATGATATAATTTTTATTTGACATTTTTATGATATTTCAATAATATTGAGCCCGTCAGGAATATCAAATTAAAAATCTATTAAAATGTTTGAAAAAAGATTAATACGTTGAATAAAAATAACTTAAAAAGTAACATAAGTATACCATTTTCTAAATATCTTTGCTCTATCAAGTACCTATTTGAGTTTTTTTAGTACAAATGGAAGATGAAGATTCGAACTTCCAACTTCGAAGCTACACATTTCGATCACATCTTCACATAAATAAATCAAAGAAATCTGAAAGTCCAAACTGTAAATTGGTGATTAACATTACATCTCGCCAAAGCTAGTCTCCAAAGACTTGGAATGAATGTAAAAATGTTCCAAATTCACCAAACAATAGAGCAACAAAAAGCTTTTGTCTATATAATAATATTCCTGAGAGAAATAAATTTAAAAAAAAAAATCAATCAATCAATCAATCAAGCCCTTCTAAAACTCTATTCTATAAAAAGGAGAGAAGAAAAAGAAAAAACTATAATGAACCCAGGTGACCACCAGCAGTACTGTTCCCCAACACTTCATAAACATATCAAAGAAATATACATGTGTAACACATATATATATATATCAATCAATGGTTTAAAGAATGAAGAGGAAATATGGCCATAATAATGAAAATAAAGATTTTCCTCTATTTTCAAAACTCGCCTGATGAAGCGCGGCAATCAAAGGTTTCGGGGGATAGAACGACGACGAGCAAGCTGAGAGAACTACTAAGTTTCCATGTCTTTGGTGAGCTCCTGATGCAAAAGCCAATTATAAGAAACTGTGAATACTTCGATAAAAATAAAGGAAGCAGGAATCTCTATAACTTCCATTCCATAGACATCATATTAATTTGGACGTTTGATTTAGTGAACGCTTCTACCTGCTGCTCCTTAGTTGTCACTGTAGCACTCTCACTAGAGTCCAGGTACAAGCAGACTACGGCACAATCATCCACTTTGGCAGTAGGGTACTTCGATCTCCATGCTCGAGAAGCCGTGTCCACAACGATACGAGCTGCAGAGGATCTTGGAGAAGATGCGACAATTGCCACAACCTCTTCGTTTGAAAGTACATCCCAAACCTGCGGAAGGGTAATAAAGAAGGAACATCTTAGATTTTAAATAAAAGTTAGGTTCATAATTAGATCCCTCAAAGACAGATACTATGGCCTTCTTGCTTTCTTTTTGGCTCCAGAAATGGGTTTCTGATTCCAACTAATCCCTAATGGTAACAAGGAGAACAAGAATGCTTCACAGGTCAATAAGAAAGATTGCAACAGTCCCTGCTGTTGTTATGTTTGAGGTTTCTATTTTTAATGTAAATAAGAGCTAATCAAAGTAAATTGATATTCGCTTCAGTGCCTCATTTGGGTTTCTTGCTGTAACATGTAAAGCAATTTTCCTCTTGTTTGCATACTAAAAATTTCGGATTGTTTTTCCCTTCTTTCTGGTTGGCAATTTTCCTCATTTGGGTTTCTTGCTGTAACATGTTTTCCTGATAACTTCTTCTTGTTCATTAATTCTTCCTCTAGATGAAATCGATTTTCTAATTAAAATGAGGACGAGGATGAGGAAAAAGAAAGTATATTTTTTCATAAATGTTGATTCTTATGCCAATAATCAATGAAAATTGCAAATGATCAAAATATTGAGACAAGGTTAAATGGTTAGACATCTTACCCCATCGGTAGCCAGTACAACAAACTCATCTTTCTCATTAAGATGATGACAAGAAATATCAGGGACGGCTATCAAGCCAAAGTCTTTCAAACAGAAATCTCCGAAGGCTCTGGCCATAGCAAGGCCAGGAGAATCACTGTCGGGAAGCCAAACCCGAAAAGTCTCGGGTTCATTTCGAAGAGCAAAGATTCTTCCTTTGCAAAGTCTGATCCTTTCAGCTTCTCCTATCAAAAGAAGAAACAAAAAGTTTTATACACACAAACAAACAATACTCTTGCAAAAACTTTTTATTCGCAAAAAGTAATTATGATGATTGTCATATCATTGCACCAAAAAAAAAAACTCTATAGGACTCTGAGTAAATTAGTAAATCATAAACCTGCGTTATGTTGGTCCTTTTTCTGCAAACACGAAAGCTCAAGACATGACAATGGGAAAATAGGAAAAGAAGAGAACAAAGAACATAGACAGCGTTAAGAAAATCTAAAAGGTTTTCTTGCTGCTGGAGGCTTTCCATCTTTATCTTCAGATGCTTAACGAAATTCCATATAATAAAACAGGGAATTGACCCTTTATTTCTATTTTATACGTTATCTTAACCATCATATCATCAACCTATCCACAGTTTCCTTATTCAGAGGAGGAATCAGAATTTCAAGATCAATAAAGAATTCTAATGGACGCAATCAACAGTTCTCTACAATAATGTTAGTGCCCATGTGCCATCGGCATATTGTGTCTACAGATTTTGATGAAAAGGAAATCTTCAAGTTGATATCAAACTATTAGCATCAAATCAAACGAAGTATCTAGGACACCTTATTGACCATTCAATTCATCAGAAAAACTTGATGGTAAATGCTCTTCCATCATAACACTCCTGATTACCTATTTGTTTAATCACTGAACACCCAGAGACATGGGTGGTTTAATATTTTATTCCATATAATCTGATGAGTATCATATATTCATCACCCAATTTTAGGGCACATGTTCACTCGAAAAATGAAGTGATTTTCTGAAAGATGCTAACAAGTAACTCAAAAAGGTGCTTTGGAAGAAATTTCTGGAGAAAAACTTCTTCATAGCGAAAGGTACAAACAAAGACTAATTATATTTAGGAATATAGCACCATATGTACACACAAATGTAAGACAACACACGGAAAAATACATCGATAGCTACTGGGAGAGTGAAGAGAGTAAAGGCATACTTGGAAGATTTGGCTTGAGGTCCACAGTCAACTGAACTGCAATGAGGGAGTTCGATTGATCTCTGGTACCTAAAACAGCCCTCGAGTCCCCGACATTTCCGATGATAAGATCCCGACCCTGTTTATCACAAGAAGAGTAAAAAGAGAAAAGATCACAAACCATATATATTCTCTGCACTTTTGATCAAAGCAATCGATATATGGATGTAAATTTACACCTGTTTGATCAAAGCAACTGATGTTGTACCACTGGTATAGCAATCGATATATGGATGTAGTTTAAGCTCCTTGTCCATCACCTTAAAAGCCTTCAGAAAAGACTCTTTCAACATGACATGAATGTCATTGGAACTGCCCAGACGACCAGGATCGCACCGAGAGGTTCCAGAATCCTTATTAACCAGCACTGGTGGAGAGACTTGACATCCCAATTCCCATTGTGCACTCAGTTTTAGAGGAAGAGAGTCTCTGACTTTCTTTGCAACCATATGGCCGAAAGGACCATGTCCATCAAAGACTCCGCAAAATATTGTATCTGCTTTTGAACCAAAATTCTGAAAAAGGGAAGCTATTATTCAGATGTAACAAAGAAATATGCAGAAAAATAAAACACTAAAGAGTAAAATTTACTTTAAAATTCATTGAAACGAGTAGGCATGGGAAACCTAAGAGCAATGGACAATAGAAACCTTACAGAGGCAACAATTCACTTTTACACGAAATTACATATCAACAATTTTACTAGAAAAGTGGATTTTGGTAATGCTGTATTTGCCTTTTTTGTCAAGGGGTTGATGTTATTTTTTTTCCCCTTTTAATATAAAGTTGTATAGCTGTGTATAATAAAGACATACAGTTACACAATTTTATATTAAAAGGAAAAAATGTAACATCAACTCCCTTACAAAAATTGCTAAAAAAATTTAATCATATTCATGAAGAACGTAAGAAGATGATAACCTGAATATTAAACCTAACTTTTCCTCCTATTCAATGTTCAAAAGAAGATGCTCAACCAATTAGTTATCTAGTCCACAGCTCTAAAGATGATCCTAAGCTAAAACGAGATCACAGTCCACCTAAAACCAAACGCCAGACACGATGAAGAACTGAAAGCAAATGAAACATGAATACTCAACTAATATTAACCACGACCAAGGAATTTCCATACCTCAAGGTCCAATTACAAGGATGAGAACCAAGAAGTTAAAACAAACCTTGTACACTTATATTCAAGCTATGATGAGCTCAAGACAGGATGAATATTTTAACATGCAACAGATAATGTATACAAAACCATTAAAATTCACAGGCGATGACCCCATATTACGAGCAAAGTTTGAGGGAGAGAATCAAACCTCCCAAACAATCATAGCGTCCTGATTGATGCCTTTCTTGCCTTGCCTAGTAAAGAGCGAGGCATGATCAGTTGATCCATTCAAAAACATCCGGCCAGGAACTCGATGAAGCGACATCTCCCTTGGAGAGTCAATAGAGGGAGAAGAACTCTTTTTCGTAATCTTCCTATTGGAGTTGCTTCTGGTAACAACGCCATCACCACGAGAAGTGGAAGCGATCTCAGAATAAGGGATCGCGTGATTATTGCGGTCCCCAGAGAGGCACGATCCCATACCGAGGGCCCTAACAACTTTAAGAAAACACTCCAGACCTACCAAACAGTCAGAACCACGCAATTCCACAGACGACGCCGTCGTGAAACTTTCAATTCGATGATTGGTTGCAATAAATTTCTATTGGAAAACCGATAGAAATCCTCTACATACACTTTCGAACAAAATCAGCAGCACATTTGTCAAAAAAAGAAAAAAGAACGCCAGAACGAATAATCAAATTTGCCACATGAAACCTGACGATGTAGCGATTAAAGAACGATGCATCACGCACGAAAACAAAACAAATCGATTCAATGCTTCAAAGCTACATATGAAAACAAGAAAAACACACGGATTAGACTTAAATTTCGTCGGAAAGGCACAAAAACAAAAACGCCAGAAAAGATCAAAACGCGATTGAAGTCATTGACATAACGACGACGATGAAAAAAGAGAAACGACAAACAGACCAAAGGCAAGGAGTAATCACTGAAAAGTTCAAAGACGACAGAACGGAAAAAAAAAACAAAAAAAAAAAAAAAAA